CCAAATATTTGTCCAATTACATTGAAAACTCTCAAAAAACCATATCCTCTTGCAAAGGATTATTATCCATAGACCACCTAATCGTCGACTGCAATGTTACGTACCGAATTTGGTTGAAATTGGTTAAGCAGATCTCAAGATATGGGTTTTCACCTAAAAGTGGGCTGTGCCACGCCCACTGTCTAATTTTGAACGCGGTTCCTATAAAGTCACCTCATACCATCCCAGAGATAAAATTTAATGTCTCTGGCGTGTTTAGTGCTTGATTTATCGCGCTTTTAGTAGTTTTTAACAGTACCGTTATATGGGGAGTGGGCGGAGTTGCCACCCGATTTCAACTATTTTTACATTGTGGGTAGAGGTTCTAAAAAAATTTGCTTCCAGTGAATTTTGTTATTATAACATTAGCGGTTTAGGAGATATGCATATTAAACCTATTAGAGGCAAGACCACGCCTACTTTTTAAAAAAAATTTTAACTGCAGATGCCCCTCCCTAATGTGATCCTGTGTACCAAATAACAGTCTTGTATATTATTGCGGAGCTTAGTTATGGCAATTTATTTGTTTTTGATTAATGGCGTTTGCACGGACGGACAGACGGACGGACGGACAGATAGTCACCCGGATTTCAACTCGTCTCTTCATCCTGATCATTTATATATATATAACCCTATATCTAACTCGATTAGTTAAGGTGATACAAACAACCGTTAGGTGAACAAAATTATTATACTCTGTAGCAATAGGTTGCGAGAGTATAAAATTTGTTCACGTGACAAACACCATATTATAACATAGTAATATAACAATACCATTTCGCAAAACTGAGCCGTGGGCCCTGTCAGCCAGTGCGCCCTTTTTTTAGATATAATATTTGTATACTATATCTAAATTGAATAAATAAATACATTATTTCACGAATTAAAAATTGGTAATTTTTGGTTTATAATTTACAGGCTATTTGACATCACAACATGGCGGCTGGCGTAATCTTATATTCTAACAATCTTGGTGGTAACCAATTCACTACCCCACTTGTAAAATTTCACGTATTACACCACTACATAACCACATCTAACTTTTTGTAGAGTAGCAACATTCGTCAGGTAAAATTTTTCAATGCGAAAGAAAAAGATGCACACAAAGAAAATTAATCTGTCAGAAATTGCCGCCATTGAATCTGCCATTTAAAGAGCGTCAGTTAAGTTTCGAATCTTGCTTAATTGCTAATTGTCATACATGTTTATTAAATTAAACTCTTTTCAAAACAGGAAACCAGCAAACGAAGACCATTGTGATATAAAGCGTAATACTTCTACAAAGAGTTTATATGCATGAAAAGTTTATAGTGAGGAACCTATTTGGTAATATCTCTACTGTAAGATGCCCGATTTTAATCCAACACTCAATTTGTCATAGTTTCTGCGTATCGAATTGCAATATTACAAGTTTTGGGCATAGAGACTGCGCGTAAATCGGTTGAGAAGGAAATGAATGATTTGCTGAAGTTCTACGGCTTGTACGTAAACTATCATCCTTTGCCCTTGTGTGAAGTAATGACAGCTTACTAAATACAAATAAGTAAATTATATAACTATTCTAGATTTTATATATAATTGGGGCCATATATATGCATAATAATATTTTATAAGTATGAATAATTCAATCATAACTGGCCAATATTGTACATTTCTATGTTGAATATGTATTTAAACTTTAATAATTGGGATTTTTATTAAAAATCGTTTCTTCTGTGTCATTTTTAGCACAAAATTGAAAGTGGAAGTTTACTTCATATTACTCAAAAAATGTTTGTTTGGTAAAAAAATGTCAACAGCTGAAAATTTAACATTTTGTTTGATTACCTTAACATAGGGAACCCATGTCAATCATTTGTTTGGTAACCAATCAAAATGTTACCGGAAGTAAACAATGTTAAAATTTCAGTATAATTTTTGACGTTTCTTAAAACAAACGAACGATCACCTATTGTCACCGCTTCCCTTGCCGCTCTAATAGATTTGCCAATAAACAATCGTAAATACATATGTATAAGCATGCATATATTATATATCGACGCAAATTTTTGAATCAATCAGAAAGTTGTTCAATTTATGATTTTTGGCTTTTACCATCGTCGTGAAAAGACGTTTGTAGGCAAACGCATGCTCGGAAAAATGTGTATATTGTTTACTTTTATGAATAAGTCAACTCGCTTGTTAAGAGTACGTCTGCGTTCATGAATCAAAATGTTGTTGCTGTATGATTTACTATAAATTTGGGCTTCAGCAATTTGGCTGCCACTTATGCTACTTAAGACGATTGTTGTTTTTGTAGAACAATGTTTGTAATTTGTGCGGGTGACATATTTACATGTGTACTCATATGTGTATGTAGGTTTGTGTATGCATTATCTGTTCGGCAATGCCATCGCACATATGTATGTACATATGTATAGAACAGTGTGCGCACATGTTATTACTGATAAGTTACACGTTGGTCTTGATCTTATGGGGATCAGGCTTTGCAGCTGAGCTTTAAGCTACCGGAGGGGGGGGGGGGGTCGTCAGGTCACGGATAGCCTGTCGGCCTGTAGTCGCAGGTTAATTGCGAAATAAGTAACAACGAATAAGCAATCCCCGACGAGGAGCGGCAGGAGTGGAGGATGCGGTATAAAAGCCAGCTAACCCGAAACTTACTCCTTAGACAGAGGCGAGTCGAAGCCGCCTCTCAACAATAGGTGTCCCCCTCACCAAGCATGATGAGTAATACAAAAATTCAGGCGCGACACACAATGAGCGGCTTCCTGGTCAGCGTCTGTTCACCATGTTAGGTGCGGACGTAACTACGACCGATGCGCTAGTAAAACTGATTAATGTAGACAAAATAGGAAAAACTAGCAACAAACCCCTTTAAGAAGGCTTCGGGTCTGGGGCAAGCCAAACGGGATCATATACGAACTGGTAGAAATTATCCAAAAATTAGCGAATATGATGCGCCCGCCACAGCCTTTCATCAACAATACCATGAGGGAAGCAAGCCAGTAAACAGTTGTTAGAGTAACGCCTAAAATGCCACGAGATAACAACCAAATAAGCATAAAGACGCCACCAAAAAGGACCAAAACATCCCACGAAGAGCGGACGGGGAAAACGGTGGTTAACAAGAGTTGCGAGGAAGAAAAGAGCGATAATAAATGTTCAAGAACGGAGTCGTCAACAGAAGAGGACTAGATTATGTTTCAACGTAAAGGGCAAAGGAAGAAAAGTAAAAAAAAATTGCAAACCCCGCACCACACATACAACCTAATGCAACTGCAATTGCAAGAAACGGTGATATGACGTACGCTGACATACTCCGAACGGTAAAAAATAATGGAACTTTGCAAGAGCTTGGCAAAAACGTCTCCTGAGTAAAGAAGACAGCCAAAGGAGAGATTTTGCTTGAACTGAAGAAGACACAAACAGGAAGCACTGAAGGTTACAAGAAGAACATAGGAAAAATAAGTGGCGACCAGGTGCAAATAAGAACTCTACTACAGGAGACAACATTGGAAGTGAGTGACATGGGCGGTATCACTACGAACGAAAGGGGATATTGCAGAAGCGGTTCGTTCTCAAATTAAAGAGCTTGCCTTTTCAACGACAAATCAATAAAAAGCATTTGAGCGGCTTTCGCAGGCACTCAAAAAGCAGAGATAAGTCCTTCGGTGCAAGAAGAAAAATATTTATTGCAGGCGCAAAAGATAAAGATCGGCTGGGCAATATACGTGGCGAAAGCATGCAACAATACGGAAGACAGGAGTCAGTGCTGTATTAAATGCGGAGAAGCGGGCCACCTTGCAAAAACCAGTGCTAATAAATCTTTTTGCACTGCATGTAAAAACAGTGGGAGAACGAACACCGACCACCAAATAGTAAGCCGAAGATGCCCCATCTATACAGCAATGTGTAGTAAAATTAGAAAGTAAAGATCCTGAAAATAAACTTTAACCACTGCGAGGCAGCTCAGGATCTCTTAACGCAAATGGCCTATGAAATAGCCATAGGTGTAGCAATAATTTGTGAACAATATAAAAATAAAGGCACTAACATGTGGATCTCAGATACCACCAATAAGGTCGCAATATGGGCATGTGGAGATAAAGCGATACAAGACATACCACTAACGCAAAATGCCTACTTCACACGAGGAAAAATATGTGGGATTTATTTTGACAGTTGCTACATACCGCCAAGTATATCGCAGGCTGATTATGAAAAAATACTGGACGAAGTTGTGAAAGAAGCAATGACAACCACACCTAACATAATGCCTGGGCTCTAGAATGGAGAAGCAAAAGCACGACGTCTATGTCAACGGAGCATAGGAAGAGGGGAATATAAGGGACTTCGTGACATCTTCAAGAAAAACCGAAGCAAGCTCAAAAAGGCGATAAAACAGAGCAAAAATGCCTACTTCAAAGCTCTATATGAGAAAGTAAACGAGAACCCCTGGGGTGAAGCATATAAGACCGTAATGACAAGGATTGGATGGAACAAAGGTCAAGCACCTACCTGTCCCTAATTACTCCAAAAGGTAGTGGAAACGCTGTTTCCTAAACAAAGCCAAGAATGTGGAGTTCCACGCTTTGAAGAGCCAGAAGGCACAGATGAGCCAGAGGTCAATGATAAGGAAGTACTACAAGCTGTTGAGCGGTTCGGAAATTCTAAAGCGCCAGAACTGGATGGTACTCCCAACAGGGCTCTGAAACTCGCAGAAAAACTCAACACAAAGCCATTCACGGAGTTATATACACGATCCTTGCGAGAAGGTGTATTCTCAAAGATATGGAAAATTCAACGCCGGCAGGGGAACCGAGCTCTTAACTATACTGCGCAGTCATTACTTTCGATGTAAAAAACTCGTTTGTTTCGGCCAGCTGGCCCAAATATACTGCAAGCACTAGAGACCAAGAGAACACCATCTTATCTGTTGAAAATCATAAAGAGCTACTTATCTGACAGGCAGCTGCTCTATGACACAGATGAAGGACCGAAAAAGTATAAATTCGCGGGTGGTGTGCCGTATTGGGTCCGATCCTGTGGAACGTACTGTATGATGGTATACTGCGCCTCCCTTTGCCTAAAGAAGTAAAGATAATCGGATATATCCCCAACGTTTAGAAAATAGCTTAGAGGTTTCTGTTGAAGGGAGTTGAGCCCATTCCTCGTGCAGCACATCCTTGAGCATATCTTTTTAGTTAATTGTGTATCAGATTGAAGTATGGCGATGGTGGTGTTTGAAGCTGCTTGGGAACGTTGTAGAGTGACTAAAGCTTAACGATGTCTGCTGTATGCTTCGGGTCGTTATCCTCTAGAAAATAGGAGTCACTTCCAATTCTACCACTCTTTGCTTGAAACTTATTTTTAAAATATTAATGTATGCATATTTAACAATGGTGGGCTCTATAAATTTCATTTGGCCCACACAGTTGCTAGCTATGCACCCCCATATATTCTTCATCGTATGCGTCAATATTTCCTTATCGAGTGCCGTTCTTGTTTTTCGCCATAAGATCTTACGCTCCTTGATTCTAAAGACGCAAAACATGCCCTCATCGGAAAAAATAACTATTTGCCAAAACTCCCGGGGCTTGTTTAGTGCTCTTTCGCGGCAACATTATGGACTCACCTATTGACTAACGATATGAATGAGTTCTTGTGTGCGACTCGACCTAAAACCTTATTTTTTTTTTTGTAAATTTTGCGAATGGTGTCAGTGCAGAGGGATTTCTTAAAATTTTTCTTATCATTTTAATCGATTTTGGATGCAGTAAATCGAAGGTTTTGCTTCACACAATGCAAAACGTTACGAGTTTCACGCTGTGCTAGTATTTTTGGCCACCCTGGACGCACCGAGATACAAAAACGCCTCTGTGTTTGTAATTTTTTTATTACTCTTTGTATGAAAGAATTTGTCCCTTCAACAAGCCGGCCGATTTCAAGGTATGTTTTTCCTTCTTCGAAAAGTTTAACTATAATTTCCCTGGCAGAGGGTCTTCTTTCTTTTCTTTAAACTATATTCGATGAATAGAACAAAACTCTTTTAAAATTGCTACTTTTATGAAAGCAAGACGCTGCCAAATTACTATTTTTTGTAAATTTGTTTATAAAACTACTAGAAGCTTGCTGTGGCTAAGGCATAATTAAATTATATTTGAGTAAGCTGTTTAATATAGTAAAAATATTATTATCGAAATTAATTTTAACATATTTTGCTATCAATATAGCCCTATTACAAAACCAGTTTAGATTTCAGTAATTATTTTGTTTGTCTGGGAAAATACTGCCAATTAATTTTCTTTTTCCGTGTACAATAGTGCTGAAACGATCTTGCAATTAGCTAAATCCGATTGTAAATAGTATTTTGTTCATCTGTTAGTAATGGCTCATTCTTCGCGATAATCTATATATAATATATAAAAATGAAACTCGTTTCCCGTTGTCACACCATAACTTGAGAACGGCTAGACCGATATGGCTGGTAGTTTTTGTTGTTTTTTAATACTCTATAGAAGGTTCTTAAAAAATATTAAGAAAATGTCTCAGAAAGATTGAAAAAATACATTTAATTTTGCATGTTTTAACAAAAGTGCGTAACGAATGTCATCATAATTTACAGCCATAGACTACCTATATTGAAAGTGCATCGTTTGTTCGGAAATGTGGTTACTTAATTAAATTCTATCGCCTTCTCAGTTATGGCAAGACCAGGGAAATAGGGATTCATTTTTATATGGAGGATATTATAGATTCCAGTTTAAATTG